GCATGCGATGCAGTGTGCTACATCTCTGGGACCCGCGCGAATCTGTGTCATCGGTCGAATGGCCCGGGCACAAGATCCCTCCGCAGACTATCCACAACGACGGCTCACTCAGTCCGATGTATCGTCTCTAAATCTACCACCCGCCGACTCGCCCTTGATTCTTGACAATATGGCGTGCTTCTGGCGTCTTGACAAGCTGAGCCGCGAAAGCCACCCCAGGGCGTCACAGCATCGCCCGGGCCGGTTCATATCCCTCTTATCGACTTTTACCTCGAGTCTCCCCGTGTCGTGGACTCTTTCTTTTTGTTTTACTGACAGCTAATCACATTTCAAAGGCTGCATTGCTTTTCTCCCGTAGGTTCAAACCCATGTGTTCCGAGCTTGCTCAACCCCTGCATCGTGCAGGCCTCATTCGTTCCTGGATAGACATTCGCAATATTCAACAGGGCTCACGAGTTGGGAAACAAAACCTAGTCTACTAGCTTGGAGGCTCTGCCGGAAACCGTGTCTCCTTCCCCGGACTGCCGGCATGGCGGAGCTGATTCAATGCCGCCACCGTTCCTGAATTTCACTGCCCCTGGCGATCGTTCTGAAACCTGGGGGCACACCTTGCACTCACCGCAAGAACGTCAAATTGAGCCTTTGCCGAATCCATGCTCTCGGTGACGAAGGCGTCATGTCGTGGAACTCTCCATCCCAATTATACGATCACATGTGCCGGCAACCGAAGACTCGACTTGCCTCCTTTTCCCCTTGCCCCGTTCCACACAGGACGATCACTCGACTCGGAGGGGCCGCACAGGGCTGCATTGACCTCTTTGGATCATCCAAGGAGAAGCCGGGGATCCGCCATGTGGTCGCGCTTCGGAGCCCACACCGCCGCCTCGTTTTCCATTCTGTACGTCTCATTCCCAGGAACCAGCTCGCCGGGCGCGGGATCCTTGAACCTAGGCGAGCTGGGTCGGTGACATCTCGAATGCCATGTAACTTGAATTAGATTTGGTCTCTTTTGATATAGCTACTCCCAATCCCGGGGGCCTCTAAACATTCATCGCAGGCATTGCTCAAGGTTGAGGAACCCTCGGGAGGACCTGGTCCTGGACTGTGACCGAGACAAAAAGCAATTATGTTTTACGATTTTCGGTCTCGGCGGCAGGCATCTGGGCTCATTGTCGCGCCACGTGTGTGATCCCAAGACGGGCCAGTCGGGTCACGTCCGGGTCACCACGTTGATGTCTTTGTGCTAGGCCATGGGGCATGTTTGTAGATTGCAATTGTAAACCACCTCGAAGTCTCAGCTGGCAGGTGCTAACAAGCTATGTTGCTGTCCGTTGATGGAGCTTTTGCCACTTGTCGTCTTGCTTCTGAGCACGGCGGATGGGCTAGGAAGACCTTGATGGCGCGTGACAATATCAACGGTGTGGATACGACCAGAGATTCTCTTCGCCTGAACTGTCATGGGAGCCCGAGGTTTTCTAATCTATATCCGTTGAGCCGGCGTGAGCCTTTAGGCTGGTTTCGTCAATGTCTACAATGATGTTCAGAACCGTGGAGAAACAGATTTACCAAGGTCTTCCTGTATATAAGGAACAAGTTTCGACCTTCCCGTAATCTTGCAGCAAAGATCAGCGGGTTTGATTATGTCTTCGGTTTGTCGGAACCTAGCTGGATGGACATCAACAGCCGTAAAGTGTTCAACTCCTGCGTAGTTCGATGAGCCCGAAGTCATGTTTCGCTCGATGATTGCGTCTCGTTTCCTGGTATTTGAATTGAATACTCTGCTAACGGCACGGAAGGGAGACAGCATGATTTCTCAAGGTAGTGGAAGACCGGTAGGTGATGTACACCATCCACACTGCGTTCCAGAGTCGGCTTGACACAAAACCCTGTCTTCTAAAACCTGAGATTGCAGAATGACGACCCGGAGGCTTCGAAATCGTCGCTGAAGTGACTGCACTGCTCGCGCAAAGTGGATTAAATGCCCCGCGGGAGAGGTGCCGTGCCACAGAACCACTCAACATTGGTTTCGGAAGTTAGGCCTTGGACGTGTAGGATAGTCGAGGCATCAAAGATCACTCTGGTTTAGGTTCTTTAATCTTTTATCGTGCAGAGATAAACATATATTGGTGCCATCAGAGGCGTCTCTGATGTAGCAAGCCAATCACTCTTCACGCTTTGAACTTTGCTACGCAGCCTGTCGTGGCCAGGTTGAAACTCGAGATGATTTCGGTTTCGTAGGCCATCTGTCGATAGCGAAGCTAAATTGTTGGAGGCTGTTTCTGTCATTCTTACGGTATTCTGGCTCTGATAGTCGGGGGAATAGAATCACGTCTGAAACCATGCATCGGCCTTCGGGATTCTTTTATTAACTGATGACGCATGTCAGTTTGCGATCCAAGTACCCAGCATGCAGAGAAACCAAGCGGAAGCCCAGCCCAGTTTGGGCTGGAGTTCCCGGTAATCGATGGCGAATGCAAAGAGAGGGCTGTATTTATAGACGTTCCAGGAATAGTCAAAATTATCTCTATTACGTCCTGACGAGTTCTAGTGAAATCGACTCCGGCCCTTTGGTCTCTCTATCTTTAAATCCTGAGACATAAGCTGCCCCTTGCAATGCCTTCTCAAAGTCTCATGACCTCATCCGCCTCTCCACATGTATAGGTTGTTCTCATATGAGTCATATGTGTAACCCGTCCGTCTAATCTTGCTTGCGACTTGATCTTCATACCGCGATGATGCATGGAAATGCTTCAAAATGGGCTTGAGGCATCAGCGAACTTGCTCCTTCTCCTGATCGCCTTTCCATATCTGAAGAACAAATAAGGAAACACCATCATTCCCGTAGCCAAGAAGCCAAGGAGTGATGATGCCCATTGGAACCCGAGGGCCACATACATTTGGTTTCCAAAGAGCGGGAATGCAGCTATCAAGATCTCAGTTCGCCGTATTTCCAAGCTTTGAACCTTTTGAGGGGAGACGTACCAGCCGCAGTGCAGCGGACGAAAGAATTGGCAGCGAGCGCGCTGGCAGCATACCTAGGATATGCCTCCACCTATTAGAAGCGGTTAATCGCTTTTGTTCATGTTGTGGCTCCTCTTATGTTGTGCTACTCACGAGGAAGGTCCAGATTCCAGTGAAGAGAAGAATGTTCCTATCACAGAGCAACTCATTAGGCCAGACTACTCATTAGGATGCACACACATGCGACGATGTACTCACCCCGCTCCAAACAGTGCTGTCCCAATGATCGGAACAATCCAGTGCACCCAAGGATACATCGACCAACCAAACATGAAAATACCCGCAGGCACTAGGACAGAGCCAAACATTGCGGGAGGAAGTCGGAACTCGGGCTCGCTGCTGTCCGCATTTTCACTTTGGCCCTTGTTCTTCAAGATGAGTCGTACCCTGACTCTAGACCACACCGGATCAGTGGAAAGGCCAAGCAACATACCAACCAGGATACCCAAAAAGCTGAGCCCTATCTGGTACAGATTGAAGCCGTATGTCTCCCTAAATACGAGGGGGAAAGCCCCGAAGAAGAGGTAGAGTATGCCAAGGAGCAATGCCGAGAAGAGGCACAGAGACAGACACATTGGCTCAAATACCAGAAGCTGAATGGGTCGCAAGAGTGAGAGTCCGACTGCCCGAAGCACGGATTTGGAATGCGTCTCTGAAGCTGCTCTCCAGCGGCCATCCCCGGTTTCTTTACGAAGCTTGCGAGCCTTGTTTCTCAAGAGAATGGGATCTATCGCGCATATGTCAGTTGGGCCGCTTTCAAGAGCGAAAGTCAATCTTACGGTACGTCTCTGGAACCAGAAACACGATGCCCAACTCTAGCACGAAGGACCAGATTATCAGCACGTAAAACGTCCAGCGCCACCCAGTGTAGTAGTTGACGAACCCGCCGACCAACGGCCCCAGGCTGGGTCCGATGAACGGACAGATCGAAAACAAAAGCATAGGCGCCTGCAGTTCATCGTCTGAAAACAAATCGCGGACCGTCCCAGCAGACACGGCCTGGAACGCACTCCCCGAAAAACCGTCCAAGAAGCGGAGAACGACCAGTGTGATGATGTCTTTCGCTGTAGCTTGAGGGATCAGGAAGAGAAGGTGGCACGTCGACGAGACGAGATAGATTGGCCTTCGCCCGTAGAACTCGCTCAGGGGACTGAACATCATCGGCCCTAACGCAAGGCCGAGGACGAACGTTGACAAGCCTAAAGTCGATACGATTCTAGAGTTGTGAAACTCGGCTTCCAAGTTGGCGTATGTTGAAGTGTATATAGAACTCGCACAAGTGCTTTTCAATGTCAGCAGCGACGCAGAGCCATGGGACACGCTCATTGTAGATCTTACACGCAAAGCCCCATAACCGAAACTACCACGGTGATCAACCATTTTCTTAGCTTGCCGTAACTTCTTGGACATAATGGGTCGTTATCGCCGTCGTCCCAATCGACCAGAAAGTGGCCTTCTTCTGGTGACATATTGGCTTATGTGACTTGGTGAAGTAACGCTGTTGAAACATCTAGTACAGTAACTGTGTTTAGAATTCGCAAAAAGTGTTAATTCGACTCATCTCAGTTGCATTGTTTGCATGGTTTGGGGCACAATATGACTCAATCGCGAAGTTGTCGGGTTTCGATTTCCTTGAATTAATTATGACGAGCATTCGCGCAGTTTTCCGTTGCTCCGGGGCATATTTCCGCGCCAGTCACGACGTAGAATTACTAAGCCATGTTCAGGTATGCAATCCTTGACGCAGATCGTTGTTCGGATGCGACGGCCGGCAAGAGAGGGCGCTAAAGCGGAGACGGAGACGGAGGTAAGGGCGGGAATGGGGACGGAGATGGAGCGGACATCACCCCCTGCCAGTCCCAAGAGCAGCTTCTTGTAAGTTCGCACCAAACACCATAAAAAGGGCAAAATGTGTGAGTGGCTGATGAATTAAATCAAGGAATACTCTTCACACTGAGCGAATTTTATCATTTTTTATCATGGCACCTCTACACAAATACTTCTTCCCTGACAACGAGTCCTTCGCCTATGAAGCTCTTCGAGCTGCCAGCTATGCCTACTGCGGTGGCGCAGAGCTGGCTGAAGTTATTTCCATTTGCTCTCGCATTCCATCAAAAGACGAAGACAGCTGGCTGCGAGAATGGAAGCTAGCCGGCGACCGCGCTGTTGAGACTGCAAAGACGAGCCTGGCCAAGGACAACCGACGCGGTGCACAGTCTGCGTTTCTACGCGCTTCGAACTATTACAGAACGGCAGAGTTCTACCGACGAGACAATGTATTTGAGGACAAGTTGTCCAAAGAGCTCATGAAATTGAGTGCCGAGGCATTTTACTCCGCTACAGAACTCATGCCATACCGGACGGAGAAGGTCAAGATACCGTATGAAGGAACGACACTGCCGACAACGATCATGCAACCGGACAAAAGCGACACGTCAAGACCAACGATCATCTTCAACGGTGGCTTCGACTCTACCAGGGAAGAGGTCTTCTACATGGATGGAGATGCAGAAACGGTTGCGCCTCTCACTTTTGTGTAGCTGGGACGAATCTGTCATCCTGTCATTTTGTAAAACTGTTCTTCATCCCTTCCTACATCCAGCAGCCTCTCTTGATCATTTTTGTGTGTGCAGCTTGCGATATATTCGAAACGATGGAAAAGCACAAAGATTGTGATTACACCCCACTCACGTCAGATGCTGGATCTCTCGAGGAAAATGCAGGCTTGCTCGGCGGCCGTTTGCCTATAGAGTCACAATCGACTTTTCGCCAATTGGCGGAAGGTTTTCAGCGCCGAGGAATGCTTGTGTTGACGCTTTTGTCTTTTCTGTTGGTTGGAGTTGCGGCCTTCTTTGTTGGGCGAGCTTCCATGAGTTTGGAGGACTGTGGAAAGCGCCTTTCTCCATGGTGTAAGTGTAATTTCTCCTGATTTGTGTGCTTCAACTGCATATGATGAGAACCAGGGCAATGTTTGCTAAACAGCCCGGTAGCACCTGGCTTAGAAGCCGTCAATTACTACCGGACCATGTTTCCCTCCGACTTCAGAGCGCCGTCTCCCTACCGTGCGCCTCCAAGCCAAGAGCTAGACGACGCTTGGGATCTGATTTCCGACCAGGACTTATACTTGATGCGAATGGACCGAGAAGACCTTCGTCGGATCAACAAGTCTGAAGTTATGGACACAGCCTGGGGCTACAGTTACGACCAGGATCCAAACGGTGTCAAATACATATTCGAGGTTTTCCATCAACTTCACTGTTTGGTAAGAAATACAATCCTATTCATTCTGATCTGAACTCTAGATTGACATCACACGATAAACATAGAACATCTTTCGAAAGTACACTTGGCCTGATCATTACGAACTCGCCCCTCCTGGTCACGAGGATGATGCTGCATGGAGGCATGTTTACTACCGGGAGCACATAGGTAAGCCTTGATAAACCACAACTTGCGTTTCGGTCTTCCTCAGAAGCTCACGCCGGGATAGATCACTGCATAGAATCTTTCAGGTTGTCCATCATGTGCAGGGCGGATGTGACGCCCTTGACGGGCAACATCAGGCCTGGCAATGATCATGTTATTCCGGATCCGAACGACCCAAGCACACTCCCGGAGCCTGACTTCATGACGCAGCATACGTGTCGGGACTTTGAGAAGATTCGTCAGTTCGCCTCGGAAAGGAGAGTTCCAAGATTTGATCAACCACCCGGCAGCACTTAGTCTCATTGGTTGATCATGCGGGGGTGTGATCTACATGTAGATATCGTAGCTCTTATCGTGCACAACTCCTCGTCTCTCGTGAAAGGCGCAACTATCCACGTCAAACATTTGCGCCTCATATCGATGATTCTCGCTTTGCTTACTGAATGCTTGGCTTTGTAAGGTGTAATCCCGCAGGAGCTACCCGCAAAAGAGGACTGATAATTGTGGAACTGAGATGCTGCCAAGTTGCAAGTCTTGTGCTTAAATAACGGGTCTGAGAGCCAATTAAGGATAGACTGAACGGGTTTATGCAGTTTTTAACCCCCGTAAAACCGAAAGCGAACCTAACTAACTTTATTTTCTTAGACTGCTTCCCCTCTTGTGTTTCCGGACTCATCCGTCTTTCACTTCCTGCCGTAATGGCAGATGTTTTGCTGCTGGCGGAATTCATCCTCCGACCTAGGATACCTGTGAATCGCCCGACTCCATCACTCTTTGGACAGCACTCTCACAAGATAAGTGATTCGCAATGGGTGGCAAGCAGTAACCCATTCAGAATGCAATAGTGACTGAAACTCCTGCCACGAAATACAAACTCGACTCACCCAACGTATGCCTTGCCTACCTCCTCGCTTATTTACGCTGTTTCAAGAAATACTGGCGTCGCGTAAATCAATCAAGCTTGTATCAACACACTCCTGTTACCAAGCACGTTAGAATTATAAAGACTGGCGGTGGCGGGGCAGATTGGATAGGTAAAGGCTATCAATTCTCGTCTAAGCTGGCTAACATTTACCACCTTCTTGCCGGCGAGTACTTCCGAGTGCTTTATCACTGACGCATAATCAACTGTGTTCCTCACGCGTCTCAGTCGGTCTCGACCTTCTTCGCCGAGTCGGCCTCGTTTGCGTCGCCATCCAGCGCCTGGTAAGTATATCCCAGAAGCCGTTTAGCCTCGTTCTTGGTTGCGGTCTCTTTCTCAGTGTCTTCGCCATCAAGAGCGTGGTAGGTGTACCCTAAAAGACGCTTAACGTTCTCTTTGGTTGCTGCATCCGCCTGAGACTCTTCTCCATCAAGGGCCTGGTAAGTGTACCCCAGAAGCCGCTTAGCCTTTTCACTGGTTGCTTCATCGGTCTGGGTATCTTCCCCATCCAGAGCTTGGTAAGTGTATCCTAGAAGCCGCTTAATCTTGTCGTTGGCCGCGGCATCTTTCTCAGTAGCGTCGCCATCTAGGGCTTGATAGGTGTATCCCAGAAGCCTCTTGGTCTTTGCAGCTTCTGCAACTCCCAAGTCACTCTGCTGAACTATCACCGTCACATGGTCAGCGGCAGGTGATCCTCGGAGATTGCCTCGTGACAACTAGGAGTAAAAGAACTCACCCGGAATTGCGAAGACTGGAAGGGCCAGCAACAGACCAAGGCAAAGGGCTTTAGGGCTAAGGGGTGTCATTTTGGACAAGAACAAAACTTCAAATGACTGGAATGGTGGATGGTTGTGGAGACTTAGGTGAAACAAAACAGAAGAAATGAGAGAGCCTTTTAAGTCAACAGGTAGCTTCACAAACGAGCATCGCGGGACTTTTTGGCAATTCCGATCAAAGTCACATTCAAGAAGCCATAAATCATAGATTCACGATCAAACCATGGTGACTGATGCCAATGGCAACTCCAACTCTTTGCAGATAGCTAGTGTCAATCTCCGCAGCGTCGGTCTCGGTTTCGGAGGTCACGAGCATTGTTTATGACCGGTAAATCAGTCAAATTGACAACTCAACGTGGTATTAGCAACTCAAGAGGAAGGTATGATAGACGCAGAGATGCGGACTTTCTTGGCATAGTTGACCGAAGTATCCGTACAGACAAGGATTATTGCATAAGGCATACGGCATCGAAATCACGTCTCGCTCGGATAGAAGGATGAGCACCAAATAGCCTAGCTCGCAAGTTCGATCCGATGCCCTTTTCTCTGTGTCTTTTGGATCACGAATGAGAGCCATTACCATTCCCTGATTGTCTTTTTCCCACATCAGCATCAATGGTGTTGTTGAAGTTAACACACATTCGTGATCGATTGCAGATCGCTGGACCGTGGTATCACCCGGTGCCACAACAGGTGCAAGAAGGCGACAATGAAGAGGCCAGATTACTTCAGTCCATGAGGTCAGATTCCAAAGATGAACTTGATTCACGTTGTGCGGTGCGTCTAGTGCTGTGAATATCTGGCTGACTGAGTGTAGACGAAACACCCGGTGGAGCTTGCGCGGCACGCTGCTTGAGAAGGTCTACGTCAAGTCTCTATTGACGCTGATCATCCTGTCTCTTTTCATCGCGCTGAGTTGTTGGATGGGATTCGAGTTTTTGGGGCATTCCGAAACTCGTTGTCTAACGCCATCCGTCCGCCGAGAGTGGAGGACTCTCAGCGCTGCCGACAAGAAATCTTACATCTTGGCGGTGAAGTGTCTTATGGACCTGCCATCCATCTTTGACAGCCAAACATCGCATTTTGACGACTTCACATACGCCCACATTACGGCAGGTGGTTCATCGCACTACGCAGCCGCCTTCTTACCGTGGCATAGAATGTTCGTGCATACCTACGAGCAAACGTTGCGCCAGAAGTGCCAATATGGAGGTGCTCAACCTTACTGGAATTGGGTGTTGGACTCAAGAGACCTAAGCCAGTCTCCTGTATGGGATTCTGAACTCGGCTTTGGACTGGATGGTGGCTCTGAGGGAGATCACTGCGTTGAAAAGGGACCATTTGCAGGTAGAAGATATGCCTGGAGACACCTTCCTGAAAAGGGAATTGCGGAAATGGAGCCGCACTGCCTATCTCGGTGGTTCAGAGATCGCCATTCTTTGGAAGATGCCGAGGACGAGGTTTTATTTCTCAAGATCTACGATCGTATCTCGCCTGAGTATGTGAATGAGACCTTGAACGCAGCTGATTACAGCTCTTTCTTCAAAAAGTTTGAGGCTGGCGCCCACAACGCTATCCCAATGTTCATCAGGGGCGAATGGCTCAACTTCACAGCGACCAATGGTACGTCTGTTTCTTGTAATCAATGGCTCATTGCGAAAGTCCTCGACAATCGTCGTTGTTATCTAACATGATGTTAATAGACCCGGTATTCTTTTTGCACCATGCACAGGCTGACCGACTATGGTGGTTGTGGCAGGACCACGACCCCAAGGGCCGCTTAAGAGAGTATTTCGGACCTTCGGAAAACTTTCTTGGGGAGCATCATCAGAATATGGAGTCTCATTCCAAAGATGTCCTTCCAATGGGTGGTCTCGTCAGCGATGGAAAAGTCGAAGACTACCTGAGCACGTCAGGTGGCCATCTGTGTTACACGTATGATTAGCATAGGACGAACGCCAGCTTGTGTGTATGTGTATCTTGAGAGAGTACCTCAGAACAGAAAGACTACTTTTCTACCGCGAGGCCAGGGCATTCAGGCGGTGTAATAGTGAGGTTCTATGAAAATGGCGCTTGATAAACTTTGGCTTCCTTGCTTGTATTAGATTCAGACCGGTTTACAAAGCGTCCGTCAGTAAGCATCTTCAAGTTCTCTCAATGGTCCACACAGGCAGATAGGCCTAGCAATAATCACAATCCACATGAGTTTTGCTATCCGGGCGGGTAGTATGCATGAACATTACTAAACGTTTTTAACGAAAAGTCAACTGTTAAACTCAATATAGCAATACTCCATATTAATTGGTCCATGTACACGTGCACTATTCCGTCGGGTGTTGAAGAAACCAACGTTAATTCCCAGCCAGGTTATGGCATTGCCAATGTTGTTCACTGCTCAAACAATGTTGAAAATATTCAAATACCGGTAAATTCTCTGACGGATTCCATATAAAACTTCCTCGATTCTGTGTAGGAGTCTTTGGTACCAGTCATGGATGTCGTACCCAGATGGCAGGATGCTCTTCGCATTCTTGACAGCCCGGTCGATTTCCTTCGTCAACGTGTCGATCGTTTTCATAGCCTTAATGATGTCGTGTATCATCTTCCGGACTGCTCGAAGCACTCGCGTGATGTCCGGCGTCTCGGGGATACGTAAAATGACTGATGGGAAATAGCTCCGAGCAAGGTGCGCGCCGGAAGCACCAAGACAAGCTGCGATGACAACGACTAGGAAAGAATCGTAGAAAGCCTGGCGGAAGTGTTCTCGAATATTCTGGCGCTCAGGAGTCATTGTTCTGGAGTAGAAGTAAACCTCGGAAATGACCCAGAGCCCCGATTCCAAAATTGGCAAGGCTAGCACCTGCCCAAAAAGTTGGCTGCGCGGACTATATTCTCGGCCGAAATTCATCGAAAGAACAAAGGCCATGTAGCACACAGCTATCGGAATGACGTAGTGGAGATACTGTCCAGAATGAACTCTGGCGTTGGCCACGTTCAAGTTCTCGACATTATACCTTTCTCTGGGAACATCGACCTGAACAGAACGTCTTGAACCCCTCCCTGTGTTGGTGTTAGATGGATTGAGACGGATTCGTGACTCAAATCTGTCCGGCAATTCCACCGCTTTCACTTTCAAGCGCATTCTTTTCTCGATATCCTGTCGCACACTTGCGAATGAAACAATGTAACCGACACCGAGTGAACGTGCGACGACGATGCCAAGAAGTTGTCTATGAGTGTGGTCGACAACCCAAGAACCAGAGTCACCTGCCTTGAGATCTGAGATTCCATGTTAGCTTCGCATGAATCTAAATATGACGATATATAGGTTTCCATACCTTGTTGATCGAATTCAAGTGTCCAAACCTCACGTTCGGTCCCGTCGGGCGAAATCATCTGAGAAGAGTTTGGGCACATCCAACAACTCCTGAAGTCGCCCATTCCCGATATGACCCAGACCTTCCTGGGTAGATTATTCTTGAATAGGCCACTTAGCTCATTGCAGAAGTCTTCTATATAGGGATTTTCCCAGGATGGTCCCATATGGCCCCTCTCAGGTATTTTGTTGGGGAGAAGATACTCAAGGTCCACGGGGACCAGCTGCCAATCTTCTCCGGCTCGCATTCGTTCCTCGCTGACTTGAAACATGACGTAGTCTCCATCTATGGTCATGTCATGACTCGAATCTCGACCGACTTCCTCTCGTTCGTCACCATCGTCGTCCAAAACGTGGGGATCACCCGCTTGTGTGTCTGAATCATCTACCTCGTCGTCAGAGTTACTGAGCAGCGCCTCGTCTAGGTCGTTCCAATCGCGCTCGAAAGCCTCGTCGTCAAACACTAGTACCGTGCCACTGTGCTTCTCAGTCATCCTCTTGTTGTCATTCTCAAGCATCTGGTCGCTGTCCTCAGGCATGTGGCTGGTGGTAAGGGCGAAGAATTGGTCCTCTATCTTCAAAAGACCTCCAACTGTCGACGTCCGGGGACCCAAATTCGAGCTTCTGATGACGATCAATCTACCACACAGAGTTGTGTCTCTGATCTCCTTAAGGGCGCATGTCGCTACTGCCGCTGGGAATATAGCCCCTGTCTCCGGAGCATAGCAGAGTTTGAAAGGGACATAATGCTTGTTCTCTGGCCGCATCCAGAACGTATGGAACTGTCGTCTACTTTTCTTCGTTCGCAGCCCGACTATGAGGATGCGGACTTCTCCGTGTACATCCAAACCCTCCAAGGCTTTTGCCCTAGATTGTATGTGGGCCAATTTCACCGTGATATGGGGTAATTTGCCCGTACGACTGGTCAGAATGTCGTGTTGATATTTTCGGATCAGCTTTGTGAAGGTGTCTCGAGATTGCTTTTCTTCATCGCTGAAGAAACAGTCCAGATTCACGTCCACTAAATCGGGCGTCCAGAGAATGTCTACTAGCGGCTGCCTGCCAGCTCGCGGAGCCTCGACATTGATAACTCTTTGTCTTATTCGATTTGTCTCAAGTGGACCAAGCCCACTGTGAACAAGATGTCAGCTCGCTACCCCAGCGACTCTCGTTGATAATTCATACCTGGAATGTCCTTGGTCTGGGAGACTGTTGCTAGGTTCAGAGACCTGTTCCAAGGCTGCGACTGCAAGATTGGTGTCGGTATTGCTGCTGCTTTCATTTACCCTCTGTGGGAAATCAGCTTGCTCCTCATGTCTGCGAGTATTGTCGGAGGCCGCAGACGTCGCCACATCCCCTCCCCAGCCACCGCTTTGCGGAGGAGTGTCGCCCGGGGCCTCTCCGTCAGGCAGTTCATTGCCATTTGGGACATGCTCATGACCAGAGGCCACCTTTTTCACGACTATGATTATGAAACAAATAATAACCAAATTCATGACGCTGATAACGAAGTGTAACATATGAGCAACGAGAAGAAGCTCTTGAGCTTCGAGCATTGGCGACCAAGTCTTCGTCTTGTCGTTCATCAGGGCCCACACCAAATCCGATGGGTTGCTACTTACCTTATTATCATTCAGATGGCTCAAATTCCTTA